TTTTTTTTTAAATGAAATGAATAAATACTATAAAGGTAAACAATAAAAGAGTGGAAATCCTAATAAAGTCAGCTCACCTGCTAGCATCAAACAGAAATATGAAGGTAAAAATAAAATTATATATTCTTGATCTAAATCTCCACTTACAAAGTACTTTCTCCACAGTGTGGTCTTGTTGCAATGCAATCTAATACAAACATATTAGACTTAATAATTTGTGCTAAAAATACTTTAAGTGAGTTCCCTAATTTTACAAGCTGTTGACTTTTCATGTCTTCGTCCCCGGGGGATTAATGCAGCAAAATAAACTGCTAAAGAGTGATACAAAGAGCTTGTGACAGTGCATGCTTGGGAACGGAAATCTATGTGTGCCTTTCACCAAGGAAAGAAGTCCCTTGGCAACTGTGCTCAATCCTCCCTATTTCATGCTTTGTCAACTTCAGGATGGAGTCATTCCAGATGGAGAGGACTTGGAGTTTAGCGAGGTGAAAACTTGACACGTGAATGCCAGGAGAAGGAAGTACGGAGCAGATTTACCATATTAACCTGTGAGACCTCAATTACATGGGGAAGCAGATATGGTCAAGCAGAATGCAAACAACTGCATGATTCATGGAAATATACATGCCCGTCCCATGGAATCTTATAGCCATGCATTCGTGGCAAGCATTTCCAGGTGAGCTCATGATGACAGCTTCAGGCCTCAATCTACCTCACTTGACATGAGTTCTCCTGACATGAAATTGTAAATATAAATTCTCCAACAACACAAGTGACTTCCACTTAACCTTTTGAAATGATCATCAGTCAAGCAAAACGGCATCTTCCACATCCTCAGCATCCAAACAAGCAGAATGGAGGACAGCCATGCAGGGCCTATTAGCTATAAAAAAAATCTAGAAAATATTTATAACAAGCTAGAACCACCACTAAAGTCCCAGTAAGGCAGAAATAAATGTCTGTGCTGACTTATTACACTGCAGTAGACCTGATGCCTCTTTATAATCCAAGCAGAAAAGTATAACAAGGTTCTTTTCTGCTGAAATGTTTCGTCTCATCTCCAAGAGACTTCTTCAGTCTGAGGATTTGCTTGACTGGATCTTTGGTGTGAACCAGTCTTTGCCATAATGCATTTTGAGATTTGAAAGCCACTGGGATGCCATGTTCAGAAAATAAATGTTTCAGTTTCTCTGAAACATATGGAATGACTACTTTTCTGGGTCTGGGGTCCCTCTTTTCACCCACTGGCTGGTTTTTAAACCCAAAAAATAACATAATGGCAAAGACTGGTTTATCCCAAAGATTCGATCACCTGGAACAGAGTAATGTTGTGTATGCTGTTAAGTACAAGGAGGACTGTGATCAGTTTTATATCGGGGAAACAAAGCAGCCACGATTCAAAAGAATGGGCCAACACAGAAGCACAACATCATCAGGCCAGGATTCTGAAGTCTACATTCATCTACAGGCCAGGATTCAGCAGTCTACACTCATCTACAGGCCAGGATTCTACACTCATCTACAAGCCAGGACTCTGCAGTCTACACTCATCTACAGGCCAGGATTCTGCAGTCTACACTCATCTACAGGCCAGGATTCTGCAGTCTACACTCATCTACAAGCCAGGACTCTGACGTCTACACTCATTTACTGGTCAGGATTCTGCAGTCTACACTCATCTACAGGTCAGGATTCTGCAGTCTACACTCATCTACAGGCCAGGATTATGCAGTCTACACTTATCTACAGGTCAGCGTTCACTTTTTCTGGAACAAACATGTTCTAATCCTTGATAAAGARGAACAYTGGTTTGAGAGAGGAGTAAAGGAAGACATTTTTGTAAAGARAAACCATTATTAAATGGCTGGGGGCCTCCGTGTCTAAATGTCCCCCTGCTACGATGCTGTTATTGGGAGTTTGATTTAGCCCTCTGTGAACAATAGAGATAATCAGGGCACTAACATTAGGCTGATGGGCCTCCTTTTGCATGTGAACTAACAGTTTTGATTGTCAATGTTAAACGTGTTTGTCCACCATGTGTTGGCACTGCTTATAAGGCTGAGCTTACCTGCAACTGCTCAGACTGAAGAAGTATCTTGGAGAAGAGATGAAACATTTCAACAAAAAACAACCCATTCAGAGGACCTGACTCAACCTTGTCAGATGCAGCAGAAAGTGTTTTAACCACCAAGTCAATTTAAAAGAAAAAAAAATCTGAAAAGATTTAAAATGTTAAAACATGCTGAGAACACTGACTGTCAGCTTAAGTGAACCAGGTTTAAAGCGCAATTAAAGATCGATTTTAAAAACATTTTTACTGTTCGCTGCAACACTGCTGTCACGACCTTTCACAAAGCTTTATTGTTTATGACCAGTACTTGTGGGGACAGTATTGCTGTTTTATTTCCAAAATGTTGCTGCTTTTAATGACACCCCGTGTCTCGTCTTTCCTTCCTGTGGGAAACAGAATGGTTTTACATCCATATAACATGACTAATGTTTCCTTGGAAAGATGAACATCGTCCTCATCTTCATCCTTGTAGTTTAATCACGCACCCATCGTAAATCACACATGCATCAATATTTCAGACTAATTAATAAGCCTTTGAGAGCCGAGTTATTGCTAGCATGACCTACGTGCTAAATGTGTCCATCTGTATTAARTGCAGAATCTGCTGATGAATCAATTATGCATCTGTCCAAAGCTGAAACAAAATGCTCCTCGTAAAAAGGTCAAGAGCAGCCATACTGTTGGGAGCGCATGATTAATTTAACAAGATCGCGTCCTCTGCACCTACTGTATAGGTTAAACAATGAGCTCAGTGCTCTGACATCACTGACCATTTAAAGGAAAAAGAGATGAACTCGACCTTTCCAGTCAAATGAAGC